TTGCTTACAAGGGTGGATTAATGAAACTTCCAAATATTATTATGGTAAGGTATCAAGGTAAGGAGGCTCTGGTTTAACGTCCATCTCCGATATAACAGAGTCATGTGGGTGGACGTATGCTGCGACTACTACCTTTCAATAAAAAGAGTGACACTCATATTGAGGATAATAAACGGAACTAATACAACGAGCAGCCATGTCTGCAGCGACAAGAACATCAGCATGGACAACAGCAGCGGCGCTCAGTTCTGTCACATAAGATTAGATTGATAATGAAAATAATTATTATGTTCGGAAGGAAATTACCTTTTTTGTCAGCTGGTGGATTTTCTCCAGCCCAAACCAGAAGTTTCCAGACAGGTCTCCGAAACCGTTCTTGTAGTCCACCCAGCCCCGGAAAAAGTCCACGTCGGCCGAGGTACGCCTCTGTACACATGACAGAACATTATGAAACTTTATTAGGCATGTTATCATGAAATATGCTAACTAAACCACTCTATTTGTTGGAAATAAAATTGATCTTGTAAAGATTATAATGTGACTTTTGATTTGTTTTTAAAAAATTAATTATAATTTTTCAACGTTATTAAAATGTATAACCTTTGGTCTCCAGGCACACATAAAGTTTTATTTATTGTTGTGAAATTACGGCAAATCTTCATTCCAGTGTGTCCTGTGATGGTATTTTTAAAACCACAATGCTAAAGTTTAGGGTATGCGATGCGATTCTCTAATTTAGGATTACTGAAATGGCAGAAACTTTTTAGAAATACAACCATATGTGAGACATCTTGGTGAAATCATGCGCTCGTCAAAATAGTGAAATTGAAGAAAAAGGCACTTTCCCACCAGTTTGGCAACTTTTATCAAATTTTTGAGGGATTTTTTTGGGGGTTCAACACCTTTCGTGTCCATATAAAAACACATTTCCATTAGTGAATTTCACAAAAAGGGTTGATTAAAGGCACAAAATATGTAATTTTATCGTTTTCAATTACTCTCCGTCTATTGAAATTGTCAAACTTTGTCCTGCCAATTTCAACACTGAAACCGGGCGACCCTTCTTCCTTCAAACGCAAATATCTTGACTTTTATTCAAGAGGGATGGGTATTTTTTCATAGAAAGCAACACAAATAAACATGCTTTAAGATTATACCAATAACTCCAAATCCCTGATTCCACCGCGTCTTGACACATATGCCCTAGCGAGGTAATACCTGAGTCTTGGGTAATACTTGCACCATACGTAGACTTATTATATATACTGTCTGGGACGTCACAGAACTAACGTGTTCCGCCTCTTGTTATCTCACCTGGACCACGATCCAGCCTCCGTTGTCTGTCTCAGTGTCACAGACGACTTGCATGCCGTTAGAAAGGGTGACCACTGGCCGGGGGGCTTGAATCGTGACGTCAGCACACGTATTGGTCTGGGAAAAAACACCACAGAGAAAGAGTTTGATACACGGCTGTAGAAAATGTCGAGGGGAAGTTGGTTTGGCGTTACACAACGCTAGTGGTGCTGAAAAACATCCGTCAGTGGGGCAGGCAATTTTTCAAGTTATCACTCAGTCAGTTTTCTTGTTTATCACTCAATCAGTGCTCTTGTTTATCACTCAGTCAGAGCCCTCTAGTTTATCAATTGACTATACAGTTTCAGTCCCACATGTTCAAAACAACTTCAGTGAAGTACGTGGCGGGAAATACGGACCTATGTCAGACTCACATGGGACTGGGAAGTGGGCCTAAAACATTTCTCTCCTGAGTTGACAATCAGGTTGTAATTCATGTAACTCTGAGGGGAGCTCATTCAATTCAAGGTCAGAACATTTGAAAATTATACTTACAGTTTATGGTCTGAGGTACTCTCTCTTCAATACTTTCTCTTAAATAGAAATAGATAGATAGATAGATAGAGAGAGAGAGAGAGAGAGAGGGGAGAGAGAGAGAGAGAGAGAGAGAGAGAGAGAGAGAGAGAGAGAGAGAGAAAGAGAGAGAGAGAGAGAGAGAGAGAAAGAGAGAGAGAGAGAGAGAGAGAGAGAAAGAGAGAATTGTGGAAGAGAGACTTGTTGGGAATCATAGATCAATATTCATTATTCAATATAAAAGGAGACTGGTCCTTCATGCAGTGATAAAGGAATAATTATGTTCGTGTTATTTCTGGACAGGAAACTCGTAAGTAAAACTTTTCCCGTCAATATTGGAGGTCAAAGACTACGAGAGATTTTTACCTGCAACTTGGTCTTTGTAGCACTCAGCTTGCGCTCAAAACCTGCTTCTAGAGCCTCAATCATCGCTGTGACGTTCCCGAGAATGCATGTTTCCAGTTGTACAAACTTCATTTCATTTTGTTCAAAAGTCGCAGTGACGTTGCCAAGAATGCGTTCTTCCAGTTGTACAGACGCTAGTTTGTTCTGCTCCATGATCGTCTCCACATTTTCCAGAATCTGGCGTTTCTGGGACAGCATCTGATGTGGACACTCTTTCTTGTTCTCCTCTACTGTGTGGCTAAGGATCTGCAGTGTGACGTCACTTATAAGAGTTTTGAAGATTATTATAACGACAATCAGAGAAAGTTTCCTATTCCCGAGAGAAATGTCTACTTCTCACTGTGACCCCTAGGCTCACCCTGATATCGTGCAATTGATCAAATAGTTCAAGAAGGTGGGTGACTGTGGCGTGGGGGGTGGGGGGGGGGTTTTTTTTACCAAAATTAGCAATCTTTTTTGCTTCATAACATTCTTTGTTAAAACAACGTCAATAACGTGGCAAAAGGAAAGCCTGTAGGTGTTGTCAGTCGCCTGGAGATTAATTGTTTTTTAGACTCTCTTGGCTTTTTTCATCGACCTCACGCTCTGTGGCGGAAAGGAAGATTGTAATAGCATGGGTTCTTTCTTCTTTCAAGTCTGCAATTTTACTTGCCAGGAGAAGGTTTCCAATTTTAATTCCCATTTTGGTAAAGAACCGAGCCAATAAAAACAGCTCCTTCTTGTCTTCTTCTTCTTCTTCTTCTTCTTCTTCTTCTTCTTCTTCTTCTTCTTCTTCTTCTTCTTCTTCTTCTTCTTCTTCTTCTTCTTCTTCTTCTTCTTCTTCTTCTTCTTCTTCTTCTTCTTCTTCTTCTTCTTCTTCTTCTTCTTCTTCTTCTTCTTCTTCTTCTTCTTCTTCTTCTTCTTCTTCTTCTTCTTCTTCTTCTTCTTCTTCGTCTTCTTCTTCTTCTTCGTCTTCTTCTTCTTCTTCTTCTTCTATCATTTTGTCCTACCTAAGTAACATATAATAACTTTCCAGCTCAACGGAAGTGGGAGAAATATGAGCAGAATGAAATGTTTACTCGCACTCTTACTACTTAGATGGTCATTCCTTCTGGACACCATACAATAATATATTAAAAATAATAATAATAATAATAATAATAATAATAATAATAATAATAATAATAATGATAATGACAATAATTCGTCGATCATAGGCTGAGCATGACTTTTAACGTCCAAATAGAAGGGATAAGTCATAGATGTTGCTAGTGACCGCAGTGGCTACTGTCTATAATAATGATAATGACAATAATTCGTCGATCATATGCTGAGCATGACTTTTAACGTCCAAATAGAAGGGATAAGTCATAGATGTTGCTGGTGACTGCAGTGGCTACTGTCTGTTGTACGCCAGTATAATGATATAGACAAGTAAACATCCGCAGAGACGTGGCTCAAGGTACGCCTAATGATTCTTTTCCCTCCCTCGCCAGTATCAAACCTCACCGCTGTCAACACTGACCCTGTGGACAAGGTCAAGGACAAACATAGCGTGGAAGATGACGTCAGGTTACGAGGTTCCTTTTCTTGGCTTCTCAATCTTACACAAACCTGGGATGGAAATAGAGGGTGGTGGAAGGGGTGGGGGGTGCTCTGGTGGGGGAAAGATTTTGCTGCTCTTTCTGGAAAAGACAATATTTCCTGGCAAATATTAATTACTCCTCAATATTAGGGAACAATTCTATGAGACAGCTAGACAAGCCAGTGGGAACAATACTATGAGACAGCTACTGCCGCAGAGCACTACAACAATGACAATAACGAAAACAACAACAATAGCAACAACAACAACAACAACAACAACAACAACAACAACAACAACAACAACACTACCACCACCACCAACAACAACAATGACAACAACAACAACAACAACAATAGAGATTCTCACCTGTAGCTGGCTCTTCCACTTGCTCTCAAAACTCTCTCGCAGAGACTCGACGGTCGCGGTGACGTTTTGTAGAAGGTTCTCTTTTTGCTGCGCACACTGTCTCTTGCCTTCTTCCGCCGTGGTTGTCACGTGCTCCAGAATGGTTTCCCTCTGAGATCGCAGTCGCTGGAGGTAATCGTTCTTGTTCTCCTCCACAATGCTGCTAAGGATCTGCAGTGTGACGTTACTCTTACGGAATATGAACGTGGGTAAGCTTGTGTGTGTGAATGTGTGTGAGTGTGTGTGTGTGTCTGTGTGTGTATGTGTGAGTGTGAGTGTGTGTGTGTGTATGTGTGAGTGTCCATGTGTGTGTGTTTGTGTGTGTGTGTCTGTGTGTGTGTGTGTGTGTTTGTGTGTGTGTGTGTGTGTGTGTGTGTGTTATTGCACCAAGGAAATGCTAACGTAAGTGTACATAATCGCCGGGGTTGTAGAGTACTTTCCTTCAACCCCAAAAATTAATAATACAATTGGTGTAGTTCACAAGCAAGAACACACACAT